GAAGAAACACTAAACGACCACAAAGAGACACAAAACAACTAGGAAGAAACACTAAATGACCACAAATATACAGTACGTATCTGTGGATGAGGGTAGCATTAGCAGAGAAATGTATTCCCAGTTTCCTATAATCCATGCTTCTGTTTTATGAATTACTGGATCATTCGCATGAAAAGAATGGTTGGGAATAACTGATCTAGAATCGAATGACAAATATTATATTAATAATTATTAGAAAAATGCTTCCATTAATGAAAGATTTACGTTCATTATGATGCGTTTGTGTTCATTATGATGCATTTATGTTTATTATAATGCATTTAGGTTCATTATGATGCATTTATGTTCATTATGATGTGATTGCGTTGATTATGATGCGTTTAAGTCATTATGTGTTTATGTTCATTATGAGTTATTTGCTCATAATATGATTTGTTTGCTGCCATTATGATGCTTTTACGTTCATTATGATGCATTTGCTTACAGTATAATGCATTTTTTTTCATTATGATGCATTTGCTTACAGTATAATGCATTTTTTTTCATTATGATGTATTTGCTTACAGTATTATGCATTTGTTTACAGTATGATGCATTTTTTTCATTATGATGTGTTTATATTAATTATGATATATTTGCTCATATTAAGATGAGTTTGCTTTTTCTATGATGTGATTATGTTGACTGAGATGCGTTGACGTCATTATGATGACTTTTCGTTGATAATGACACATTCTCGTCATCGTGATGCGCTTGCCTTGATTATGATGCGTTTGTTTATTATGGTGCGTTCACGTCAGTATGATGCATTTCCGTTCTTTATGATACGTTCGTTTTCATTATGATGTAGTCATGATGCATTCACTTTCAGTATGATGTGTCTATATTCCATTATGATGCATTTATGTTAATTCTGATTGGCTTACGTCATTATGATGCGTTTACCTTGATTATGATATGTTAACATCATCATCATGCATTTGATTTGCAAATGCATTAATTATTATGCATTTTTATGCGTTTATGTTCATTGTGGTGCGTTAATGTCATTATGAAGCGCTTGCTTTCATTATGATGCATTTACTTTCATTATGATGCATTTACATCATTATTATGCATTTACTTTTATTATGTTTACATCATTATGATGCGTTTACTTTTATTATGTTTACATCATTATGATGCGTTTACTTTTATTATGTTTACATTATTATGATGCATTTACTTTTATTATGTTTTCATCATTATGATGCGTTTACTTTTATGTGTTTACATCATTATGTGTTTACTTTTATTATGTTTACATTATGATGCGTTTACTTTTATTACATTTACATCATTATGATGCGTTTACTTTTATTATGTTTACATTATGATGCGTTTACTTTTATTATGTTTACATTATTATGATGCATTTACTTTTGTTTACATCATTATGATGCATTTACTTTTATTGTTTACATTATGATGCGTTTACTTTTATTATGTGTTTACATCATTATGATGCGTTTACTTTTCTTGTTTACATTATTATGATGCGTTTACTTTTATTATGTTTACATTATGATGCGTTTACTTTTATTATGTTTACATCATTATGATGCGTTTACTTTTATTGTTTACATTATTATGATGCGTTTACTTTTGTTTACATCATTATGATGCGTTTACTTTTATTGTTTACATTATGATGCGTTTACTTTTATGTGTTTACATCATTATGATGCGTTTACTTTTCTTGTTTACATTATTATGATGCGTTTACTTTTATTATGTTTACATCATTATGCGTTTACTTTTATGTTTACATCATTATGATGCGTTTACTTTTATTATGTTTACATCATTATGATGTATTTACTTTTATTGTGTTTACGTCATTATGATGCATTTTCGTTCATAACGATAAACTAATGTTCATTAATGTTTGCGCTTGCTTTCATTATGAAGTGTTTGCCTTCATCATGATGCGTAATTAATTTTGGGGGTATGGCTTTGGAGTGAGGCCTAAAGGGGCGGGCTGTCAGTGTTGCCGATTTGCCCAGTTTCTCAATACATTCAGCGTTCTCTGGAGCTAATGCTGCTAGCTACTGTTAATGGAAAAGAGTTGGCAATCCTGGGCTGGGTTTTTACGTTCAATAATCTTTGAAATCTACCGTACACTCGTACAGCTCAACATTACTGACCCCAGCTTTAAAAGACTGAGACTTTGCTTGTCATTACATGCTCTACCACACACCTGATGATTTGGATGCAGCTCCTCAGTCTCAGTTGTACCCGATACAAAAAGACAATAAAATGCACAGTTTCACATCTGCTTGCACAATACAGGTCTATTTATAATGGTACATTTTACAGGAATTTGTATTAAAACTGTTGTACCTGCTGCTCCATGTCGTAGATTTGCTCCACACAAAAAAAAAACGTATCCAACATTCCATTTAATGTGTGGGCCATGATGTGGGTGGACAAGCAATAGACCTAAAATGCTAAATAAATAAAAATTCAACACAAACAAATCCAGAGGTACTTTTGTCTCTTGTATTCAAGAAGCTTATCCACAACTGTCAGTTTGAGAAGGGAGGAAGTATTTAGAATCCCTGGTATTAGAATAAAAAGTCAATCTCTCCTCTTGTAGTCAAGACATTCCCTGAATAACTCCCAAGCTCCTCAGATGGTTAAATCACTCATCTTGTCATCAGTCACATGTTCACATATACAGTTGTGTGAAAAAGTGTTTGCCCCCTTCCTGATTTCTTATTTTTTTGCATGTTTGTCACACTTAAATGTTTCAGATCATCAAACAAATTTAAATATTAGACAAAGATAACACAAGTAAACACAAAATGCAGTTTTTAAATGAAGGTTTTTATTATTAAGGGGAAAAAAAAATCCAAACCTACATGGCCCTGTGTGAAAAAGTGATTGCCCCCTAAACCTAATAACTGGTTGGGCCACCCTTAGCAGCAACAACTGCAATCAAGTGTTTGCGATAACTGGCAATGAGTCTTTTACAGCGCTGTAGAGGAATTTTGGCCCACTCATCTTTGCAGAATTGTTGTAATTCAGCCACATTGGAGGGTTTTCGAGCATGAACCGCCTTTTTAAGGTCATGCCACAGCATCTCAATCGGATTCAGGTCGGGACATTGACTAGGCCACTCCAAAGTCTTTATTTTGTTTTTCTTAAGCCATTCAGAGGTGGACTTGCTGGTGTGTTTTGGATCATTGTCCTGCTGCAGAACCCAAGTGCGCTTCAGCTTGAGGTCACGAACAGATGGCCGGACATTCTCCTTCAGGATTTTTTGGTAGACAGCAGAATTCATGGTTCCATTTACCACAGCAAGTCTTCCAGGTCCTGAAGCAGCAAAACAGCCCCAGACCATCACACTACCACCACCATACTTTACTGTTGGTATGATGTTCCTTTTCTGAAATGCCGTGTTACTTTTACGCCAGATGTAATGGGACATACACCTTCCAAAAAGTTCAACTTTTGTCTCGTCAGTCCACAGAGTATTTTCCCAAAAGTCTTGGGGATCATCAAGATGTTTTCTGGCAAAACTGAGACGAGCCTTTATGTTCTTTTTGCTCAGCAGTGGTTTTCGTCTTGGAACTCTGCCATGCAGGCCATTTTTGCCCAGTCTCTTTCTTATGGCGGAGTCATGAACACTGACCTTAATTGAGGCAAGTGAAGCCTGCAGTTCTTTGGATGTTGTTCTGGGGTCTTTTGTGACCTCTTGGATGAGTCGTCGCCGCTCTTGGGGTAATTTTGGTCGGCCGGCCACTCCTGGGAAGGTTCACCACTGTTCCATGTTTTCGCCATTTGTGGATAATGGCTCTCACTGTGGTTTGCTGGAGTCCCAAAGCTTTAGAAATGGCTTTGTAACCTTTTCCAGACTGATAGATCTCAATTACTTTGTTTCTCATTTGTTCCTGAATTTCTTTGGATCGCAGCATGATGTCTAGCTTTTGAGGATCTTTTGGTCTACCTCACTTTGTCAGGCAGGTCCTATGTAAGTGATTTCTTGATTGAGAACAGGTGTGGCTAGAGAAATTGAACTCAGCTTTCCAAAGATGTGATAAACCAGTTAATTTATGTTTTAACAGGGGGGGCAATCACTTTTTCACACAGGGCCATGTAGGTTTGGATTTTTTCACCCCCTTAATAATAAAAACCTTCATTTAAAAACTGCATTTTGTGTTTACTTGTGTTATCTTTGTCTAATATTTAAATTTGTTTGATGATCTGAAACATTTAAGTGTGACAAACAAATAAGAAATCAGGAAGGGGGCAAACACTTTTTCACACAACTGTACATATAATGGCTCCGGTAAAGCAGCTCGTTGGAGAACAGGCCAGAGTCGGATTGTGTCTCTTAAACCTAAAGGTTGTTTATTACTGTAGCAATAAAATGATCTGTCACACGGCAATTCACAATTGGACTTATCTTAAAATGGGCTGAGGGAGATCCTTACCTCCTTTAAACCCAGACCTTCAGGAACATTCCATGTATTATTTTACTGCTATATACAACTTTTAATGGTGTAATTTCGTTTTATTGTGCTCACTTTCCTCAACCTAGTACTTCAGTTTGTGGTTTGATTAGAGATGATGTGGAAGCATTGCATTCTGGTTGCCTGAGGCCACTGCTGGGGGAAAAAAAACATCTTCTACTGCCTCTTATCTGATAGATCTTTCTGCGGTATCTAGTGAATATGTATTCAAAAAGGTTTGCTTCTATCTATTTAACACCATTGGAGCTTGGAGGATGTAAGAGTGAACACACGCATGACACATTGGTCCCTTTCACACTGATGACAGAAGCTGGCTTTATGCACACTGGTAGCTCTCAGTTGTGAGTGAAGGGGTTAGATTTGACTTTACAGACCAATTATAAGCTGCCTTCAGACCTACTTAAACCTTGTCGGCCCGGTTTCTGTTGTAATGACTTCTGACATCTTCTTTAGCAAACGCCATCTTCAACAGCTGATCGGTGTAAACATGAGAATGACTTTAGTGTTATGAAATATGGAAGCCCTGTGAGGCAAGCGAGCAAAAAAATGAAAATCTAGGTATCCATTTTCTGATCTAAATTGTTTTCTCAACTGTGTTTATGTTCTTCTGTGAAATAGGACGGACATTGTTTGTTTAAAGTATAATGTTTTGCCATCTGTGACCCATGTCCCCCCATGTTCAAAATAGTGCTAAAATAATTTGTGTTTTCTACCAGGTGACTTTTAAATGATCCATACAATCTAAACACAATTATATTGTGTGATATGTAAATTAAAACCTTGAAGAAAACACAAATGATTTTAGTGCTATTTAGAAAATGTAGTGGTGCATCTCAGCCTCTTGTGGCCAAAATGAGTAATACAACAACAAACACTTAGAAAAATGATCCTGACAACAACAAAAAAATCCAGATAGATGTTAATCACAGATAGAGAAAAAAAAAGTAAATTAGAAAGATTATCCCATCAAAACGTTTTAAAAGTTATAAACACAGGTGAGAAAACAATTCAGGTCAGTTTGGATCACCAGATATTGTCCCTCAGTTGCCTCTCAGGGTTCAGTGATCCAAAAGAGCTGCATTTTGTGGGTTAAAAGGTCCAAGCTTAAAGACAGGGAAACAGAAATCTCATATCCCTATATCGTATACAGAGGACATGTCTTAAAAGTCAGGAGTAAATGTTAACCAGGTGTGACGGATGATAAAATCCCAATTTGTATCAGTAGTACCAGGTGGACTGGGAGCCCCAATAAGTTCAAATTGTTTTGGGTCTATCTCCCTGTTGCCCCTCACTGCTCTTGGTCTTCCTCTGGCTCCCTGAGGCCCTGACTGTGTAGAGTCTTCCCTGTCATCTCCATCATGGCCTGGACCTCTAGATCCGCATCCAGGATGCTCTTCTTGCCCTTCCCCTCCTTGCCCTGAAACACACGACATACAGAAATAGCACAGGTTTAATTCTTCATATTCTAAAAGGAAACAGCTGGAATGTAAATGAGGTTCTCTATTTCTGGTGCAGATAATTACACGCCTGATGTGCATGTTCTCCTCTGCTTGAATAAAAAATAAAAAAATGTTGCCCCCCCCCCTGTTTCCTGCCTGCCTGTATTGTGACTGCTATTAAATAAAGGCAAAAAAAGCAAGTACTCCGACCTCCTCTGGTTCGGGGGGTTTTCCGACCGCCCACACCTCCACTGAGTCCAGGGTGAATTCCTCCTCTCCGGATAGCTGAGGGCTGCCGTAGGTGGTGCACTTGGGCCGCGCCCGGCTATGACCACGGCCAAAATCACTGTCCAGCCACAGGCCGAAGTAGCCGTGCTGACCGCCCATACCCTGATGAAGACCGCAAAACATAAGAATGAATTCAATTATTCATATTTTATTCAATGAAGTCTTTTTTTGTTCTATCCTAAAGTGGGAACAATTTACCTGGAATTCAACTAACCGTGTTTTGTGAAATCTAATTTCAGTAAAATGGGACCATTGTGACGCCAAAAAAGTATTTCGATGGAAGACTTAAATTGAAGCGCATGATGACGCTGAAAATAAAACCAACAGTAATACTGCATCAGAACTTATTTATGTTACAAAGCCATTTCAAAGCTGCATTCATATATTGTTTTAAGCCACTTGGAGGAAAAAGCTGAAAACACAAAATTGACATATATTGAGGATAGTCACTCTCCTTTTAGCTCTGTTTTGGCTCCTGAGAAAAGTTTAGTTCTAACTTTGTCTGTCTAATGTTTAGTGTTGGGCAGGTGGTGTACAGTGGGTTTAACAGAGTTTTTTCACTGAAAACAGCTCTTAGGTGATAAGTCAACGTGTCATACTGTGAAAACCACACCCACCAGAGGGAAAAACAAGGGCTGAACAAAATGCCTTTAGCTTGCTAAAAACATCAGATTTCAGCATGTCTAAGGATTATTTTACCACCCTGTGTTTACCAGGGGATTATGATGGGACAAGTTAGCTGTTAGCAAGCTGCAGTTAGTTAAGGCACTTGGAAACACAATAATGCATAGCTTTGTGATTTATCTATTAACATGACAGGTCAGTTTGACCTATTAAAGGTTTTTGTCCCCTAAATCAGAAAACTTATATCTGAAAAACAATATTTACTGGCTAAATGAAGGTAATTACATTTTAAGCTCAATGTGATAATTACAGGCTATGAGCAACAGAAGTCCCCCTCCGTTAAACTAGTGCAGTCTCACCAGTCCGTTGGGCATGGTCTGCTGGTTCTGGTTGAGGTACATGAAGTGCTGGTTGTATCCTGTTGCTGTATAAACTCTCAGTCTGGGGAACACGGTGAACAGGAAGCATCTGGAGTCACCTGCGCACACACACACACACACACACACACACACACACACACACACACACACACACACATATACAAAGTATTAAGATCTGAGAGAAAACTCAAGTGACAGTCCACAGTATTCAAACAAGTAGTATTACTTCCTCAATGGTTCCTTCTCAGCGCTTTAATATCTGTCCTCATGTGGGGTCTAGTCCACACTAATGTGATCGTACTGTTTCTACTATTTAGAAGCTGAAATGACCTGCTATCTGTAAGAGACATCTCACCTCTGTTCTTTATTCAGCAGTGCAAAATGACCAGTCTCATAATCCAGGGTCTAGACATCTAAAGCAGCACCTTAAAGAAGAGCCAAGTTCCAGTGCACTAAGAATGTGCACGCTGGCATACTGATGCACCTACAATGTAATTGACATGATCTACTGTGAAAAAGGTCGACAGAGAGGCCAAGTCCCTCCCCTTCCTGTGGACCACCATGGGAACTTATTTTATATAATTAAAAAATATATACGGCGAGAGACAATTTGTTTTTCCTATCACGTTTGAATTGTGCCAATAAATTCAGCTGATGTTTGTCAAGTTAGACGATAATGTTGTCATTTTGTTGAAGTATAAAAGCGTTGAAACACAGAGATGCAAATCTGTGACAGTTGCACATTTTTATCAAGAAAAGGTTCCAATAGACTGGCGCAGGCAGGATCATACTGAGCAAAATACTTAGTAATAATTATGTAAAAGTGAAAAATATGAAAGTGCACTTTTATCAGGTTTCTAATATACTCTGCAAGTTTGATAACTCATGCTATTACTGGTTAGCTGCAAAACCATACTTTATGTTGAGGGAAGCTAATCACAGTGTTTGTTATCAGTTATATCAATAATGACAAGAACCTGAGATACAGTTATATTCAATATCAAGCATACTATTTCTTATGCAAAACTTTGTAGCACTGGTTCACTTGCTAACACGAGAGAGCAAGTCATGTAGGCTCGTGTTCTCTATGAAGTTGTTGGAAGGCAGCTAATGAGCTAGAGAAGCTATTCCTCAAATAGCAAATAACATCGTAGTCTCCTCTCTCACCCTGGAACTGAGGTTTGGTCTCCCAGGCGTGGGAGGCGAAGCCCCCAAAAACGTGGCCCTTTGTGTCTTTGATGAGCAGCAGCGTGGGCCCGCACTTTGTCAGGCCGCCCACCATTCGGCTGAAGCTCTCCCCGTGTAGCTGCGTGGAAAACACAAGCCTCCAGGGGGCGCTGTAGCTGTCCGGCAACTGGAGAGATGAATGTAGAGTTGTGTAAGTAGCATTCTAGAACACCAACGATGAATGGGTCTATTTTCATGTGATCATTTACAGGACCTATCCCTTGTCATTACTTAAAGCTACTCCAAGAAGTGGTTATGAATTCATATAATACTGATGCCTCTATCCACCAAGAACTTCCTTGTAATTTTGACTATTTTCCAAGTAACTAAAAGGTTCCTTCAGCTTGTTGTTGTCTACGTTTCCATGACAAGGGCTGCTAGTGGTCGCAGGTTAAACACACTCTGCAGCCTGCACGTCAGACTGCCCGCTTGTTCCATCTAAAAAAACTAAAAACTAAATAACCCTCAGGTTTTGTCTCACTGCGACGACATTTACTGATGTCTGATGTAATGAATGAAATGCAGAGGAGAGCGTCCGACTCCACAGTAAATCATCCATTAAGCGTTTCATGGTCACGAAATCTCTCTCCCTCAATTTTTCTGTGCAGGAGTCAGGATCAGGAAACCGACAGCAAAGACTAACTTTACTTTTAGTGCTATCGAACAAAGAGAAATGCACTCCCCTCGATACTACAGTACTTCCTTTTTTTATGAATGAAACAGTAAACGAGTTGAAGTAGAGGCGCTGTGTGTGTTTGACCAATCGGTGACGGACATCCCTGCAAACCTAACCCAAAAAGCACCTGTACTTTAAGAAAGTGGTACCCACCCAACACGCGCCTTTTTGGGGGGTAAAATGTCCCCAGAACAAAATTCAGGCCCTTGTCACTGAGGTCGACACGCAATGAGTTTGTGAAAAGGTTCCTAGTCCCCTGGGTCAAGTTTCTGTGGAAAAGGAGGCGGAGGACCTAAATACGGAAGACAAAACCTTTAGCGAGAAGATTGGCTATTTCAGTATTGTCATTCATAATGCCTGTTTCTGGGTTACGATGCCCTTACAAAGTGCACACCGTTGCATGCAGTATGCATTCAATTAGGAAATACTACTTCCTCATAACATGGCACCTTGAACTTTGAAGCTCTTGCTCATACATCTGCTGTGCAAAGGATTGTGGGTCAGAATAGCCAGAAAAGCATGCTAGATTGCATACGGCAAAATGTGACCGGATGTAGGAGAACATCCTGGTACTGCATTTTAAATACATTGTATTGGGACATACTAAATCTGTTTCTGGCATACTAATCAGTATGGTAGCATGGACTTTATTTTGAATTAAAACAAAATGACCAATTCAAAATCGAACTAAAGGAAATGAGTAAACCAGAACGGCTGATCTGTTTGCCAGGTAAAGTAATATCTGCAGTGATTCAAAACTATGAATCTGCCATCTGATAATAATGGCATGAGAGGGGCAGATGTAATTGCTAAATGATGGGAGAAACATTTCTATTATGACATGATATGCAAAGCTAAAGTTTAAGACTTGACGTTGGGTGAATTGTTTGAAGCGATAACAAAACTACATGACAATAAGGTGGAACTGATCACATTACTGCTACACGATAATACGTTGCCACTCTACCCGACTCAGTGCTGTTCCTGTTATAGAAATAGAACAGCTCACGTATATGAGTAGTGATAACTAGAGGACTATAGCCCCGCCTTGGTGCAGTCAAAGGCATTTGAGAGAATTCTGAGGGACATAATCACACGTGATATTAAATTTGGCTGATCTTTGCACTAACAGGAATAAAGCAGTGCAGGGATGGAAAAGTAAAGCAGATATAATTTACACGTGTTCTCAGAAACGTGAATAAGGTTTCGGGACTCTTTAACTTGGATCCGAATATTTGCGCACAACAAACTAAATTACATTTCTGTCAACAAATTCACAACGTTGATCTCTCTCAAGCACAAAATAGTTCAATGTTTGTCTTATGACAGAATGTTCTAGAAATGATTCTCCATATTCAACAACCTGAAATCACTTCTACCTGAGTACTTTCTTTTGCAAAGTAACAGTACTCCAACTTGAGCACAGTTTTTGGCTACTCTGCCCACTTGAATTATATTGGAACTTTAAGGGTCAGAGGTCAAACTCAGAGAGCACACATGATAGCAAATTAGCAATGCTAACGTTAGCAGCCGTGGCAATGCGGAATTGTTATCATGGTTCCAAAGAACAAAAAGTGATTTTTATTTTGTTAGATGCTACAAAACAGCAAAGCTGATTCTAAACAAGTCATATTTGTCATCCGTCGCCATGACAGCAAGTGACTGTTAAGCTGAAATACCAAGTGGACTAGCCATGCTGTTTGATTGTTGCATTTTTAGCTCAAACCAAAGAAAGAGTTAAGACATTTTGGTCAGAATCGACCAATATGATGCTGAATAAGTTTGCGTTCTGACCTGTGGTGCCAGAAACATGAGGGTGGGAATGTCCAGCAGCAGACACCTCAGCTCTTTCCAGGGCGTGTCCCTGCAGGGGGGCAGCAGGGTGGGGGCCGGCCGGCCACTCAGGGACACTTTTAGGCCCTCAGCTACCAGCATCTCCAGGTACAGCGATACCTGGGAGACCCTGAAGATCCAGTCCTCCAGACAGGAAACATCACAACCTCCCTCATCTGTGGAGAAGGGAGGAGAGGCGAGGTGAAGAGAGGAGAGGAGGGGTGAGAGGAGGGGTGAAGAGAGGAGAGGATAGGAGAGCAGAGGTGAAGAGAGGAGAGGAGAGGTGAAGAGAGGAGAGGATAGGAGAGGAGGGGTGAGGAGAGGATAGGAGAGGAGAGGAGAGGTGAAGAGAGGAGAGGAGAGGTGAAGAGAGGAGAGGATATGTGAAGAGAGGAGAGCAGGGGTGGAGAGAGGAGAGGATAGTAGTGCAGAGGAGAGGAAACCAGACATTAGGAGATGAGAAGAGGTGAGGAGAGGATTCACATTTCTCTGTGTACCTGAGGGTTTGAGTTCAGAACACATCTGCTCTGCCAGGAGTTGGACACCCAGGGAGCTGTCACCCATTCTCTCTGGCTGCCAGGCCTGCAGGCGCCCTCTGTGGACCAGAATCCAAACTACAGCAGATATCAGGTCTTGGAGGAACTAAAGAAGTGAGGAAGGAGGGTTAAAATAACAGAAAAAGAAGAGAAGAAAATAAATACTAGAGAAATGAGACATTATTTGTTATGTAATGTTACCCTCTGCTCACCTCTGCTAGCTGCTCGCGCGTTACAGCCACCGCTGCCTCGTCTCCGCTCTGGGACATGGCCATGGCCATGACGAGAGGAGCCCGCTCTTCTGCGGTGCCTCGCAGGGTGTCTGCTAGGAAGACGACCAATTGCTCTCGACCGACTCCGGAGGCTGCAGAGGTGCTGGTTTTCCCAGAAGCTGCCGGTCCGGGGTCAATACTGCACATGGACTGGTAGACCCTCCTCACCATGGAGTCTGGTGCCAGGCTGCCCATTGAGGACTTGGGACAGACGAAAGGAGGGGTTGATTATACACAGGCCACACACTGGTAGAAACTACTTATTCCTGACAGATATACTGATGGTAAAGTCTGTTTACTGCTTTAACAGCCTCACCTGCAGCATCTCAAGAGTTAGAGTTGTCCCCGCTGGCGTTCTCCCGGGGGGTGCTGAAGGGCCCCCGGCGGCGCCCAGGAGCCTGTCGAAGACCCCCTCGACCACCGTCCGCTCCTCGGGGCGGAAGCGGGCCAGCCGCTTCTGCACCACCACGCTCTCCGTGTTACCCATGATGCCCTGCATAGCAACACACGGTGTGGCGGAACACACGCACATTATGTTGACATACAGTAGGGTACAATTTTTTGTTTTTTTAATTCACCCTAAAACAGATACCGTGCAACATTGATTTCAGTAAAGTCATGTATTGTATATGTCTAAATAACATCTAGCTGGCTACGTTTAATCATGACGTTGTGAGGAGTTAAAGTGATGATGTCATGAATCGTTTTTTGGAGTTTGACACTGGATTAACCACTGACTCTTCTGTATCCTCATAGAAGTCTGACATGTGCCAATAATATCAATTCCAATTGAATTTGGCAATTTGTTGTAAGTTGTAAAATGTCACCATATCCCAGCAAAATCTGACTGCTGTTGTCCTTATTCAGCTGATTCATTATTGAAGAGAGAGAGAGGATGCCAGTATTTCACAAGACAACATATTTTAATAATTTTTTAGTTATTCTTTTAATGACTTCTTAAGCTTAAATTTGAGTGACAACCCCTCAGAGGTCCAACCCCCCATGTTTCAACGTCTGTGTGCTAAAGCTTGAGTGTGTAATATTAAAGTTATTAAGATTTATCTCAACTCTATTCTTGGGCTGACCCATAACCAGAGTACTGTGTGGACCGTTTTCACATAAAGCTATGAAACTGTATCGTCAAACTTAATTTCAGCCCCACAAATTCAGCATTGCTCTGACATACGTCACGAAACGTTACACGTTACATGTAAAGCAGCAGGCTCTTATTACACAGCCATAATAACACAGACCGCCCACAGCCGTCTCCGTGGTTAAATGACATACACATCTGATCTTGGAGCTTGGATAATTAACGGTAACCTAGCTAGCGCTAGCTAGCAAAGCACAGCATTAACGATACTTCACTTGTCTCCCTCAACACAACAGCCTTCACGCTTTAAATGTAAAGGCAATGGTCTCATGCGTCATGTTCTCAAACTAAGCAAAACGAACGCTAAATGCGTCGCTAACCTGTTAAAGCACAGCAGCTTAAGCTTTCCATCCTGCACAAAATGCGAACTTCCTGGTGCTGAGCGAGGCTATTGAATGACACATGCGCAGTGTAACGGGAGCTGCGATGTTGGAGGGTTCCAGCAGAGGGCGCTAGATATAAAGGGATGGTGTCCGCTCAGGGGCTCTTTGACGGAGCTCGTGGTGACAGAACTTTTTTGTTTTGCTCGAATGGATGTAGGCTGATATACAATAAAACGTTTTCAAATAGCACACATTTGTTTACGGTCTTTCATTTTTTTAAAAATGCAATAATTGTAGAGTTGTAAATTCTCACCCATAAAATACCCTACTATGACACACTCCATAAACACGCCTCTGTGACACGAATCAATCATGTTTTTTGACCAGCGCAGCGCAGACCAGATTTTACTGCGCATGTGTTGTACTCCCAAAAATATGACGAAGCCACGACATCTCTCGACTTCCAACTCTTCTTGGTTTTAGGACTCATTGCAGCCCATTAACTGTAGCCAATCAAACGAGCCAAATGTCACACCTGCTTCGCTGTGACTGGTCCATGATGTCGGAAGGCGGGGAGAATTGGCCGGTGTTTATTTGGGTTATGTTCAGTAACACAATGGAGCGTTTTATTTTGGGCTAAAATATTCAACGGTTTGTAAAATTAAGAATAATAATCTATGACGTCCGTGTATTAGACACATACTCAGTGACAGTGACATGGTCAAAGAAATATAATGAGCCTACAAGTTTACGACTAGATCAGAGCAAATGCAACTTAGCTCTCTTATGTTACCAATATCTCATTAAAGTAAAAGGCACTGATGCATCAAAAGATTTGAAATAACATTGATAAAATCATTTGTTTTGTTGTAAAAGTAAAAGGGAAAGATTTGTGTGATTACATAATTTTTTTAAAAGGCATGAATCAAACTGTAGGGAAGTGTGGTTTACTCTCAATTGTTTTTAATCATTCATATATTTTCCAGGAAATAAATAGTAAATCCAGATTGTGAGTTTGGATCTGACGACATCTCTGATGTTCCCTTACCCAATTTGATCTTTCAACCCAGAATTTCCTTCACATGCAAACTCACACATTATAAGCCGACCCCCCCCTCCCCCAAAAAAAAAAAACAACAATTTGTAAGCCCACACAAAAACCTGATAATTTACAGCAACATGAGGAGGAACTGCAGTCCTGTCCCATCTTTCACCAGTAGAGTCTGCCCGGGAGTAGCTGAAGACACACAGCCATTTGCAGAAACAGCAGGCAGTTGAAAAGCGCCTTTTAAGGGCATGTGATTTACTATGTGAGTGCGCTGGGCTGGGTGTGTTGCATTGTAATGAGGTATTGTAGAACAGTGGAAGCACACACGTCGGCACAGCTGAATGTGAAGGTGACGTGCAGCTATCTGCCACCTCCAAGTGCACAGACATAAGATGTGCAGCGTAAGATGAAACAGACCTAGAAAATCATTTCTGAGTCTTCTGGAGTGCATTTACTATACAAACAAATTCCAAAGTTGATAACGCTCATGTTTGACCTTGTAGCTTGTTATAACCTACCTAAAGTAACACCCCACACATAGTGAGCATTAGTTTTATCCGTGCGGAATCACCAACGCGATAACCTTTTGCCCACTTCCTACTGTAGGTATAACCATGTGGATAGGAAGTAGCCTAGCTGATGGCTACTTGTTCTTTCAGAGTCTCCAACTCTCCAGCTCTACAAGCTGCATCTGAACAGGATGCAAGATGTTCAGTGTGTGTGTGTGTGTGTGTGTGTGTGTTGATAAATCGTAATAAAGATTTGTCATGTTATAAGAGCACAAAAAAAACACACTTTTTGGTGCATATTTTTTAAGGACACATCATTTTAACTTAATTTGATTTGACAAAATGAGTTGATGGAGAGATATTTAAATAGGACTGTTAAAGTTGGGGTAGGCAGTTTGTATTGGGCTTCATTGGGCGTATGCTTCAAGTTTGTACACTTTTCTTATATATCCACAGAGGCCTAAAATGGTAATAGAAAACTTGGTTACTCCTGAGAAACTTTTGCTGAATAGTAGCCATACATTTAAACTGTGGGGGGGGGGAGTGCAACAGTAGTGTAAGCTTAATCATGTAAGTAGTTACTTATTAATTGAAATTTGTATATGTATGAGGGAGAATGTGTTTCTTTTTAAGAAGTTTATTTGATTCCTGAGTTCTGACTTTAAAACTCATTCTCACTTTATTTTTGGATTTCTGACTTTAAACTCAGAATTCTGAGTTTGTTCTAAGAATTCTGAATTTGAACTCAGAATTCTAAATTCAAACTCAGAATTAAAAATTAAAAAATCTGAATACAGAATCCTAACCCAGAATTCAGATTTTATTATTTAGAATTCAGAATTTATTTCAAAATTAAGAATAGCAAAGACTTAATTCTCAAAATGATTACTTTAAAACTCAGAATTATGACTTTCTTCTCAGATTTCTGACCTCAAACTTAGACTTCTGACTTCATTTTCAGAATTATGACTTCAAATATTATTAAAATGATTTTTCACTTGAGGCCCGAAGTCCACTCATTTTTCACAAGGGCCTAATTCATCGCGCCGCGTATTCGCGCTGTCGGTCTCGCCGGGGACTATTTGTGTTCATTCGCGATTCGCGTGAATTGCGCGAATCGCGCTGGACGTGCCGGAGAGGGGGCGTGGCTTATCGCCCTGAAAGCCGTTCAACTGTCCGCCATTAACCATGGAAAAAATGTTTCTGCTTAGGACGTGTTGTGGAAGTCACAGATATCCCGGGAAACTAAACGTCGTCTTGTCTGGGTTCATAACATAGTATCGAGCTGTATTCACTGTGTCTAGCAAGCCACACGTCGCTGTTTACTACAGCTTTATGAACACAAAATAAACTGATTTGGCTGTGATTTAACGGCAATAAACCGACAAAAAGGGACTCCGAAATAACTACGTAATGATGCCGATTTGTACTTGTCTTCTCAATGGAGCTCGGATCGATCGGTGCTAGGCTAAGCTAACATTGTAGCAGCTCCACCAACACTCAGAATAACGTCATGTAGACGTAAATACGGCAGCGTCTATTCATTGTTTGTACCATATGGTTTACACACATTTATACACATAGTTTAGTCCGGTCTCTATTGATATGAGGTATCGTAGAACTCTGGGTGAACACAGACGGCTACAGTATTTATTTCCTGATTCAACAACGGCAGGACGTCAGTGATGACAGGAGGAGCATCTCAACGCTGATAGGCTATCGCGCTGGGGCGTAACGCGAATATTTCGCCGAAGTTGAAAAATTTCAACTCGCGCGTTTGGGGCGATTTGCCGTTTGACGCGAAATTGCGGCAATCACACCGCGAATTCGCGCCAATCACACCGCGAATTCGCATCAATCGCACCGCGCCATCGCAAATTCGTGTCACTCCAGTCTCATCGTGTCTGTGCATAGACTTTGTATGTAATCTACTCGCGCGAATAATTCGCGCCGCGTTTGGGGTGAAAGCAGCCTCTGTGCAGGATGATAGCGAAAATGAGGTGGCTGTTGACGTCAATGGGCAAATTCCCACGAAAAAAAGACCATTCTGGGTTAAAAGTTGCAAAAACCTGTAGGTGTAATCAGACCAGTTTACAATTTAGACCAGTCTCCATCTAGCTACTTCTCTTTGCTGTTTTTATTTCTCCATTGGTGTTTCAAGCCGGCACAGACAGAACCAGGCGATACACATGGTTCACCGATACATGATTGCGTATGTGCACACGTTCCAGTAAAAGAGAGACTTGGCTTGATTACTATGAACTGAACTGTATATGCTCCTACTAATTCAGCTGCTGTCTGCAAGCTGAGACTTGAGAAGTGAGCCTTGTTAGTTCTTCTTTTCTCTTCCCTTTGCCCACCAACCCTCCTCTCAGTTGCATCCCTATATGGTAAAAGTCTCACTGCTTGGTGACTGCACAGGAAATCCATCATTTGAATACCACGTTTGAAAAGAAGAAGAGAAAAAAAGCCACACACCACACATACACTTTAATAGACAGAAATTATCACCTGACTTCAAAGTGTTCTTGCATATCCATTTCAAGAAAGGCTATTCTGCGCTGGCTTGCCGTGTAATTGTAGTCACTTGTACTTTCTGAATTTTGTTTGTGTTCTCGGTCCAGTGGTAAAGATCATGAACATGATCACATGACATTTTTATTCATTTGAAAAAAAAGAAAGACACAATGACATGCAGTAAAAACGATCTTGACCTAAAGCATTTTTTCTGTTGAGGTTTTAACACAAATGGCATATGAGGCCTGTCACTGTTACCAAGATCTCACAGTAAAACAACAAAACACATTTACATCCTTTAACCATTTGTGTTGAGTGCCTAAGTGCTGTGCATGTGTCTACTGAAGGATTTCAATAAGGCAGATGGGCTGCATTTATATGCCGCCTTTCTAGTCTTAGCGACCACTTGAAGTGCTGTACACCACGAGCCAGCATTCACGCACACATTTATACACTGGTGGCAGAGGCTGCCATACAAGTTGCCACAAACATTTACACACACACTCATTTTGGGGTAGCCCAGGGACACTACGGCCTGCAGGGGTCAGGGATCAAACCACCGACCTTCTGAAAAATGGACGACTGCTCCGTCCCCTGAGCCACAGCTGCCAGCAGATACTCATTCGCAGAGGTGTGGACTGGAGTCACGTGACTTTGACTCAAGTCACAAATTCGATGACTTTAGACTCTACTTGACAAAATCTAAAAAGACTAGCAGCTCAACATGGCCTTTATCAACAATGAGTTGTGACTTAACTTGGGTTTGATCCTTTTGACTTGAAAATACTTGATACCTCCCCCCAAGCTTGACTTGGGACATAACTTGGGACTTACCTGTCCTGACTCTGGACGTGCCTGTCTTGACTTGGGCCTTGAGTGTATTGACTTGAGACCCAAAAACCTCTGATGACACATGATGCAGGAACTATTGGCCACAAGGAACTTCACCTTTTGACAAATGAACTTGGAACCTTTTATGAAATCATTATTGTGAAACTTACTTGTTCAA